TTTGACTATAACTCATATGAGTAACATCAAAGCTTTAATTCTAATCATTGTTTTAGTTGTAACAATTCGAAACTAATTCAGAAATTGGTTGAACGATATGTTTTGTATTCTTTTTATGTTGTAACTGCAATGAAGGAAAGCATGATGGTGTAAATGTTTACTTGTGTTTGCTGCAGCTGGATGAAGACTTGTGTTTTGTTTATTCTCTTACTTTAAAGGTTTCAGTATTCAAATAGTGGCAATTTGAGGACAGATACAGAGAAACTTGGAGCCTTCAGAGGACATAAACTACTAAGGAACTGAAACCTATTTGACAATGTGCAAAAACACATTTCTGCAGTGCATGAAAAATGCAAACTAAATAAGTAAAAGACGTAGGATCTCAGATTAGACCATTTTCTAAATGTTAGCACATAAATGCTTTTTATGATTCAGCTGCTGTCTTCTCTAAGGAGACATTTTGATAAGAGTCTGCAATAAACATGATAAATCTATTTAGTGATATGATTTCTACATTCAGATATCTGTTAAGAAATATTTTTTACAGTGTTTGGTGTAACTAAAGTTGTGTCATAATATTTGAAAGACTCCAAATCTCACATTAACAGTGTGAGAAAACTGTTGTAATAATGAGGGGTTTTTGTACAGCTGCTCAACCAGCTTCAGTCACTGTGTATCGAGCACAGTAATAAACAGCAGAGTCTACAGCCGTCAGACTGCTCATCTGCAGAGACACCTGCTGTCTGTTGTTGTCTCTGGAGATGGTGAACCGGCCTTTCACTGACTCAGAGTAGTAGATGTAGCTACTGCTAGTAGGGTGGATCAAAGCGATCCACTCCAGTCCTTTTCCAGGAGCCTGTCTGACCCAGGCCATCCAGTGGCTACTGAATGTGAATCCAGAGCCTGTACAGGTCAATCTGTGAGATTCTCCAGGCCTTTTAGTCACTGGTTCAGATTCTGTCAGAGTCTGACCATCAACACCTGTCAAGAGGATAAAAACACATCTGGTGAAATAAGCTGTTGACACAATTAAAAGCTGTGTTAGATAAAGATCAGTAAAGATGTTGACCTGCCCAGCAGACAGTGAGCAGCAGCAGTCCTGTCCTATAGTCCATCATGTTAAACTGTGTGTCCTCTGTCCTCTGTCCTCCTCTCTGCAGTCACATAAGTAGAGGGGGAGATATCTGAGTTTTGCATTGACTCCTCCTATAACTAAGTTTGTGTGTCTTTTTAAGAATAATTTTTGCAAGGCCATTTTTAAAGCAACAACAAATAGAAAATAACGATTTTGATTGCCAGAGGGACAGCTAGGCCTACATCCAATACGACAATAAACTCAATTAATTAACTAACGATTAATCTCAGGTGTATTTGATTGAATTTGGGTTAGAGATTAGATGATCAGAGCTGCTTCTTTAAGGGAAACTTTATTAATATATTTCATGTATTTAATCAACTTCTCCAATGTGTTTACTGTGGACTTAAAGTTTGGCAGTTAGCTGACTGGAATCAGTTGTTTGTCTCCATTGTTAAATATAGAATGTGCTTCATTTGGTTGTGGTTATGTTACAGTAATGTTTCAAATTCAAACAGATGAAACTTTCCTGATGATAATTTTTATGATATAATGATGATGTGTGTTCAATCGGCAAATCAAACAGATGTTTTTTAATGTTTAATGTAATCAAAGTGTGCTTTCATTAATGTACTTCTAGAGATACATGGGCACAGTTTAACCATACTGAATCAGATAAACAGCTGCGTTGTTTGAAATGGGACATTTTTACATTATATTTTATACATTTTGTTGGAGGCACAAAAGACACAAAAATACATATTTCTGTTAGAATTCACTATATTTCTTTAGGTTGCAACTGAATTAAACATTGCGTCAAATGAGATGAAATAGGATGTCAATATTCAGTTACTCAGTATTTCAATATAAAGTGAATGCTCTCATGGGTGGTGGTAAATAGAGGAATTAGTTTGTGTACGACTCTCCTGTTACTGTCTCTCACTGTGTCTCTTCTGGCACAGTAATAAAGAGCAGAGTCTACAGCCGTCAGACTGTTCATCTGCAGATACACCTGCTGCATGTTGTTGCTGGAGCCGGTGAACCGGCCTTTCACTGACTCAGAGTGAGCTGCTGCTACTTCTAGTAGGGTGGATTGAAGCGATCCACTCCAGTCCTTTTCCAGGAGCCTGTCTGACCCAGGCAATGTAGTAGCTACTGAATGTGTATCCAGAGGCTGTACAGGTCACTGGTTCAGATTCTGTCAGAGTCTGACCACCAACACCTGTCAAGAGGATAAAAACACATCTGGTGAAATAAGCTGGTGACACAATTAGAATCTGTGTTAGATAAAGATCAGTAAAGATGTTGACCTGCCCAGCAGACAGTGAGCAGCAGCAGTCCTGTCCTATAGTCCATCATGTTAAACTGTGTGTCCTCTGTCCTCTGTCCTCCTCTCTGCAGTCACATAAGTAGAGAGGGAGATATCTGAGTTTTGCATTGACTCCTCCTCAAAAAAAAGTAAGAGTAAACCAGATTTGCTATTTTTTTGTTACCTTGGTCACATGGTCACCTTATGTAAATCTGTATTTCTTTATGTTTAGATTTGTTGTTGTTTTGAATTTACTATGTAGTATGCAGAGGCCTGAAAAGTATCTCACTGCTCCCACTGCGATTAAGTTTGACATGTTCTATTGTCCTCTGTCTGTGTTTGTAAAATAACATCTCTACGTTTTTTGTGTAGATTCACTGGTGACTTCCACCAGTGTTGCACATAGGATTAACTTTTGACACTGACTTTCTTCCAAACACAGAGCAAATCCCTAACTGTCTTATTTTCACTCTTAAAGCATGGCACATGATAACATCGATATTAGAGCACAGCAATTGTCGTCTTATGGTACATCCTTTAAAATCCTTAATAGACACAGATACATCCTGAACTCTGCACGCTCTCCTGTTCACTCACTGATACGACTAACTTCCTTTTTCTTTATTGGTACTGCTGATTGTCAACATGTGTGTGTGTTTGAGTCACATGGTTGCTGAGTATTTGTGCAGGTCTGCTGGTGGTTTGTGTCACTGTGGGCAGACGTACACAGTAATACACAGCTGTGTCTGCAGGCTGCACACTCTGTCCTGTTAGAGTCACTGTTCCAGCAGAAGTGTCTCTGCTGTAGCTGAACTTGTTCTTCAGAGCATTGTTTTGATAAAAGTTACCTCCACCCCACCTATGTGAAATCCAGTCCATTGGTTTTCCTTCACACTGTCTGATCCAACCTGTTGCATAGCTGTTATCAGTCAGAGAATAACCAGAGACCTGACAGGTGATGGTCAAAGGCTGTCCAGGCGGCACAACCATTGAGTCTGGCTGGATGAGATCAATACTGTTCACACCTGTGGAAACACAAAGCAACATTATCTCCATCATTCATCTGACCACTCAGTGTTTCTGATGTGTTTATTAGTGAGAATCCACTGAAAGCTCCTCACAGGATCCAGCTGCCAGCAGCAGTATCAGAGCTGCAGAGAACATGTTGATGTTGAAGCTGAACTGATGTGAGCTCTTCTGTCCTCTCTCTGACACACACACACACTTCGCTGGTTTATGAGGCAACACACACACAGATCATTTACATACTGATGATTGGAAATCAGCTGACTTAAGTTCATGTAAATTATCCAAAAGATGAGGAAATGTTCCGGTGTGGTTTTGAGTCACATTGAAAAGGTCGAGCAACAAAATGTAGATTATAAAAACAAACTTTTCTATAGTTTTATCAAAATATGAAGTCGGATAAAAACTATTAATTCTTCTCCTAATCCAGTTATGACACTGATGAAGTTGTACATATGTTATTGAATAATTATTTAATAGTAAATGTCTTTTAGAGGATCCCATTCTACTATACAAAGGAATCTACTATATTATCAGACACTTTTAAAACTAACTTATGGTCTTACTATCCCTTTTAGATGTTATACCTACAATGATATACAGTATCAGTGATTGTAATGTCGGATTGTTTAAATAGGTGAAAACCCTTTCTGTTGAATTAAGTTAAGAATATTTCTATGACATCTTAGTACTCTTTCCCTCTTGACTGTAACAGTGAGCTGGTGTTGAGATCATTTCTGGTCTGAGGGCTCCTCCTCTGGTGGCTTCATGTTACAAGTGTTCAGGCTCTGAGGGGTTTTTGTTCAGCTCTACTGATGGTGTGTGTCACAGTGTGTCTCTGGCACAGTAATACACAGCAGAGTCTCCAGGCTGCACGCTCTGTCCGTTCAGAGTCACTGTTTTGCTGGAAGAGTCTAAGTCGATACTGAACTTGCTCTTCAGTGAATCTTTGTAGTATGAACTTCCAGTGTTTTTCATCCCAATCCACTCCAGTCCTTTCCCTGCAGGCTGTCTGATCCAGGCTGTGTAGTGGCCAAGAGAATAAGAGACCTGACAGGTGATGGTCAGACGTTGACCTGGCTGCACAGTCACAGAGGCTGGCTGTATCAACTGCTCACACTTCACACCTGTGGAGGGAAACATGTTGAATAGTGAGCGAGGTTAATAACAGTGAGCAGTCAGTGTGAGCGTTCTGTCAGTGTCTCTGCCTCAGTGAGACTCACAGGATCCAGCAGCCAGCAGCAGCAGCAGAGCTACAGAGAACATGGTTGGTGTTGAAGGTGACCTGATGGAGCTTCTCTTCTTCTGCTGCAGCTGACAGCATGATATCAAGTCTTTATAGCAGACTGTGAGGAAGTTCACTTTGCATAGAGAGGGACACTGACAGGCTATAAAAGAGGGACGGACTGTCCTGTCAAGAGTTGTCATTTGGATTTGTGTTGGGACATATGAAATAACATTTATCTTTTAAAAAAATAAATGAAAATGATATTTTTATTTCCAATCAAACCTCAAACAAACAGTATATTTATTGTCTGATGTAACTTTTGGTAGCTGATATCTGATGAAGCAGTTTTATTGAGGCGATATTTATTTCAGTGTCTTGATGATGTTGATCTCAAGCCTTTTTGTGATTGTGAGAAGCAGAACACAAATTTTTGAATTTGTATTTGAACTTGTTGAGTTTTTGTACAGCATTTCTCCTTTCTGTGTCAACTGTGTCTCTCGAGCACAGTAATAAACAGCAGAGTCTACAGCCGTCAGACTGCTCATCTGCAGATACACCTGCTGTCTGTTGTTGTCTCTGGAGATGGTGAACCGGCCTTTCACTGACTCAGAGTAGTAGATGTAGCGACTGCCACTGCTGATATAAGCGATCCACTCCATTCCTTTTCCAGCAGCCTGTCTGATCCAAGCAGTATCAATATGACCACTAAACCCTGAATATGTGCAGGTCAGTCTGTGGGACTCTCCAGGCTTTTTAACCACTGGTTCAGACTCAGTCAGTGTTTGACCCTCAGTACCTACAGACATGTAAACAGCTCATTAGTTTCTGTAATGCAGCCATATTGTCTTTGTACCAGGAGGTCTGTCAGAAAAACAGGTGTTGTTCTTACCTGCAGAGTTAATTGACAGGATGAGAAAAACCACCAGATAATCAGGTCTGATCATTGTGAAAGCCAGTTGTCTCTGTCCAGTCTACAGTGTGTATGTCAGTGATTTAGTGTCTGTCCTTCACTCTGCAACACATATGTAGAGATGGAAGAGGTCAGAGTTTGCATTGACTCCTCCTCCTCAAACAGAAACACAGCACATCCCCTGAATAAATATGATGTAGATTTCCTTTTTGCATACTATGATTGAATGTATATATATCCTTAAATTATAAGGTTGAATTTCAAGTTATTTGTCAGTTCCTTTTATTTAAATCTAAATAAGATGTAATCATTTATTCTGCTTTGCACAACATTGGTTGCCCATCAACATACTGGAAACATCATGCATAAATATATTATTGATACCTGCTGTTAAGAAATTAATAATGGGATATTGTTGTTGCAGGAAAGCTTCAAGACTTTCATAGTATACGTTTAGAGACATTGTCATATTCCCGTTATTGTCATCTGTCTTTTTATCCTCTAGTGCAGGGGTGGGCAATTATTTTTTACAAGGGGCCACTTCAGAAACTCGAGCTGTGTTGGGGGGCCGAATCAAAAATAAGTTGAACTTAATTCTGCTCAATATACCAATACTGAAAAGATGTTTTCCAGTATGTTAAAGATAAGAAATGAATCAGCTTTATACAAAAAGAAATGAGTGCTTTTGATTTTTGTTTTTCAGTTAATTTTACTTGTTCAGTGAGAAAAATCCAGTCTGTCTTGGGCTTGAACAAGTGCACGGAAATCTGGTTCAATGTCTGAGGTGGATATGCGAAGGACAGCTGAGAGGTGATCATCAGTGATAGAGGATCTGTATCTGGATTTGTTGAACTTCATCACTGAGAATGTCTGTTCACATATGTAGGTAGATCCAAAGAGGACCATCATCTTCTGAGCACGTCTCCTGATGTGTGGAAAGTTCTCCTCTTTCAGGGAAGAGTAAAACTCAGGCAGTGAGACTGACCTAAAGTGCTCTGACAGAAGTGTGTCAGACTGCAGGTCAATGAGTTCAAGCTGAACATCACTGGGTGCATCATCCACATGGCATGTAAATGGGGAAAAGATCATGTTCATTTCATTCTCAACTGTTTTGAAGTCTTTAAATCGCCTTGAAAACTCACCATGCAGTGCTTCTAACATGGATGAGTACCTCTGGAGGTGATCAGCTGATGGTGTGGCTTCCTTCAGTGTTGGCAAGTGCGTGAGAATGTTGTCCTCCATTTGGCTTGAGAGAAGCTGCAGCTTTCTCATGAAAGCCTTCACTGCACTGTACATGTCATGCACAAAAAGGCCCTTGCCTTGCAGTTTGACATTTAGTTCACTCATTAGTGCAGTCACATCTACAGCAAAACCAAGGTCTGCCATCCAGTCTGCATCTGAAAGCTGTGGGATGTCGTTTCCTTTCTTCACACAGAAGTCTTGAATTTCTTCTCTCAGGTCCCATACTCTTTTCAGCACTTTGCCCAGGCTGAGCCACCTGACAGCTGCATGGTAGGGTATGTCACGATGTTCAGTCTCACTTTCCTCCAAAAGTGCAACAAACTGTCTGTGATTCAATGCTCTTGCCCTGATGAAGTTAACTATTTTAGTTACAACATCAACAACATGGTTAATTTTTAACACTGACTTACACAACACTTCCTGATGTATAATACAATGCAAAAATACCTATTTCTGCTCAGGGTTAATTTATGTCACTTTATCCTGCATTCTCTTCAATAGTCCAACATTTTTCCTGTCAGATTTGGACAACCATCCGTTGTCACGCCTGCCAGCCTGTCCCATTTCAGTCCCAACTTTTCCACACATGCATTTACCTCCGTGAACAAATCACTCCCTGTTGTTGTACCTTTCATTGACTGCATGGCTGCCAGCTCCTCCGTGATTTTGAAGTCTGTAGTTATCCCACGTAGGGAGATGAGTAGCTGGGCAGTGTCACGTACATCGCAGCTCTCATCCAAAGCCAAGGAAAAAAAGTCAAAGTTGACCGCTCTGTTCTGCAGCTGAAGCTCCAGATTTCCCGCGATGTCCTCAATCCTCCTCGTAACAGTGCGTCGGGAGAGCGGCACTTTCTCAAATGCCTCCTTTTTCTCCGGGCATATTAGTGTCCAACAAACACTCCTTAATGAACTCTTCGTCCGAAAACGGTTAACTTTTAAGACATAACTCGTCTTGACAGCTGCATCTCTGGATGTGGAATGTTTTGTGAAAATGTGTTGTTGGCTTTGCAGCTTAGCTAGCAAAGCATCCGACCCCTTTGCCCGCTCTTCCTCAGACAGGTTCTTGTATTTATCTGCGTGTTTGGTAGCATAGTGGCGACTCAAATTGTACTCCTTGAACACAGCGACCTGCGCACCACAAACTAAACACACAGCTTTACCTTTCACTTCTGTAAATAAATACTTAGCGGTCCATGTCTTGTTGAAAACGCGGCATTCAGTATCGATCTTTCTTTTTTTGCCCTTAGCGGACATTTCGAGGACTAGCCGGCCAGCATCACTCGTAGCTGTTACGGCATGCGCGTTTACGTAAATAAATAAAAAAAACAGCAGCTTCCTTTTCAAAATAAAAGCAACACAGTTAGAAAAGTATTTACGCCATGCAAGCAATACAGCTGTGTTGCTTTTATTTTGAAAAGGTTGCTGTTTTTTTTCATTATGTTATAATTTATGATCAACCTCACACGGGCCGGCCAAGGCCGGCCAACGGGCCGGATGTGGCCCGCGGGCCGTAAAATGCCCACCCCTGCTCTAGTGCCACCTGTTGGTACTTGTGTGAGTAATGTGACTGACATTTCTACATTTACTGTTTATTTTTGCCCATGCATGAAAAATACATTTAGAACATGTTTTTCCTGTCCTTGGCTATTTTATGAGGAAATTATTTATTTAAAGACATTTATTTTGTATTATTGTGTTTTGTAACTTGGCTCAGTAGCAACTGTTTTTTTAGCAGCCGTCAGACTGCTCATCTGCAGAGACACCTGCTGCATGTTGTTGCTGGAGCCGGTGAACCGGCCTTTCACTGACTCAGAGTGAGCTGCTGCTACTTCTAGTAGGGTGGATTGAAGCGATCCACTCCAGTCCTTTTCCAGGAGCCTGTCTGACCCAGGCAATGTAGTAGCTACTGAATGTGTATCCAGAGGCTGTACAGGTCACTGGTTCAGATTCTGTCAGAGTCTGACCACCAACACCTGTCAAGAGGATAAAAACACATCTGGTGAAATAAGCTGGTGACACAATTAGAATCTGTGTTAGATAAAGATCAGTAAAGATGTTGACCTGCCCAGCAGACAGTGAGTAGCAGCAGTCCTGTCCTATAGTCCATCATGTTAAACTGTGTGTCCTCTGTCCTCTGTCCTCCTCTCTGCAGTCACATAAGTAGAGAGGGAGATATCTGAGTTTTGCATTGACTCCTCCTCAAAAAAAAGTAAGAGTAAACCAGATTTGCTATTTTTTTGTTACCTTGGTCACATGGTCACCTTATGTAAATCTGTATTTCTTTATGTTTAGATTTGTTGTTGTTTTGAATTTACTATGTACTGTAGTATGCAGAGGCCTGAAAAGTATCTCACTGCTCCCACTGCGATTAAGTTTGACATGTTCTATTGTCCTCTGTCTGTGTTTGTAAAATAACATCTCTACGTTTTTTGTGTAGATTCACTGGTGACTTCCACCAGTGTTGCACATAGGATTAACTTTTGACACTGACTTTCTTCCAAACACAGAGCAAATCCCTAACTGTCTTATTTTCACTCTTAAAGCATGGCACATGATAACATCGATATTAGAGCACAGCAATTGTCGTCTTATGGTAAATCCTTTAAAATCCTTAATAGACACAGATACATCCTGAACTCTGCACGCTCTCCTGTTCACTCACTGATACGACTAACTTCCTTTTTCTTTATTGGTACTGCTGATTGTCAACATGTGTGTGTGTTTGAGTCACATGGTTGCTGAGTATTTGTGCAGGTCTGCTGGTGGTTTGTGTCACTGTGGGCAGACGTACACAGTAATACACAGCTGTGTCTGCAGGCTGCACACTCTGTCCTGTTAGAGTCACTGTTCCAGCAGAAGTGTCTCTGCTGTAGCTGAACTTGTTCTTCAGAGCATTGTTTTGATAAAAGTTACCTCCACCCCACCTATGTGAAATCCAGTCCATTGGTTTTCCTTCACACTGTCTGATCCAACCTGTTGCATAGCTGTTATCAGTCAGAGAATAACCAGAGACCTGACAGGTGATGGTCAAAGGCTGTCCAGGCGGCACAACCATTGAGTCTGGCTGGATGAGATCAATACTGTTCACACCTGTGGAAACACAAAGCAACATTATCTCCATCATTCATCTGACCACTCAGTGTTTCTGATGTGTTTATTAGTGAGAATCCACTGAAAGCTCCTCACAGGATCCAGCTGCCAGCAGCAGTATCAGAGCTGCAGAGAACATGTTGATGTTGAAGCTGAACTGATGTGAGCTCTTCTGTCCTCTCTCTGACACACACACACACTTCGCTGGTTTATGAGGCAACACACACACAGATCATTTACATACTGATGATTGGAAATCAGCTGACTAAACTTAATGTAAATTATCCAAAAGATGAGGAAATGTTCCGGTGTGGTTTTGAGTCACATTGAAAAGGTCGAGCAACAAAATGTAGATTATAAAAACAAACTTTTCTATAGTTTTATCAAAATATGAAGTCGGATAAAAACTATTCATTCTTCTCCTAATCCAGTTATGACACTGATGAAGTTGTACATATGTTATTGAATAATTATTTAATAGTAAATGTCTTTTAGAGGATCCCATTCTACTATACAAAGGAATCTACTATATTATCAGACACTTTTAAAACTAACTTATGGTCTTACTATCCCTTTTAGATGTTATACCTACAATGATATACAGTATCAGTGATTGTAATGTCGGATTGTTTAAATAGGTGAAAACCCTTTCTGTTGAATTAAGTTAAGAATATTTCTATGACATCTTAGTACTCTTTCCCTCTTGACTGTAACAGTGAGCTGGTGTTGAGATCATTTCTGGTCTGAGGGCTCCTCCTCTGGTGGCTTCATGTTACAAGTGTTCAGGCTCTGAGGGGTT